GCGCAGCGCGCCGAGGACAGACTGCAGCCGCAGCCCCGCCGGCCCGGCCTGGCCCGCAGCCCCCGCGCCCGCCCCTAACCATGTCTCTGTGTTGTTGTTTCTTTTTCAGGGACTATGGCGGTTCCAAGAGGAAATCAGGTAAGGGAGCCTCCGGGCCTCTTTTTCGTTCCCCCTTGCCCGGCTCGTGTACGCGCCCCTCGCCTGCTCCCACGGAGGATTTTTGGAGGGGTGGTCTGTGCCCACGCGCACCTGCTTCTCTGGCCCCCTTCCCCACCCCGTGCCCAAGAGAACGCCTCCCCACCCCCTCTCTCCCTTGCTCCCACAGGCGGGGGCCGGGGGTGGGGAGGGCACTCCGGGATGGGAATGTGGGTGGGTTTGGGGTCTGGGGGCGTTTCAAGCAGGGTCTTGGTTCCCGTGGCGTCGCTGTCCTGCACGCTGGGATGGCGGTGGCCACTGTCGGCTCTGCAGTAACTTCTCCCTGGGTCCTCCCGCGGGGTGGCAGCGGCGAAGGGTTAATACAACACATGGCTTTTCCTGGCGTGGAGATGCGCTGGGGGGTGGGAGCTTTTAGTCCCTGGACCGCAGACCCACGTCCTCCCCCCTCTCTCCCCCAACACAGCATGTTCTTGCTGCGAGGGTTGGGGGCGCTGTGTGTTGCTCAGCTGAGTGGGGCATAGGAGGGGGCTGGCCAGTCCTGGCATTTTCGGACAGGCACCAGAGCCCACCCAGAGTTTGCGAAGGAGTCGCTGTATGGGGTCAGAGGATTCTCCTAGAGTAGGAGGGGCTGGGCGCCGCAGGCGCTGGTGTGTGAACGTGTAGTTGATTGAGGAGGGGTGCGCCCTGGGAATAAGAGGTCTGGGGGTGTGCAGGCTATATTAGGGTGTCTGGGACGGCCTCAGGGCAGCAGGTATCTGTGAGAGTCGTGAGTACACGCACCTGTGTGCGTCTTGGGGTCAGCACAGGACACCTGCCCAGATGTCTCCTCCAAGTGTCCCCGGCCAGTGGATCTTGTGTGCGGGTGTGCTGGATGGGGGGTGAATTGGGGTAGATGTCATGACATGGGATGTGTATGTGTCTGTGTGTGTGTGATCATGCATTCCTGTGGGTACCTGTGCTTTTTGTATTCTAGTGAGTACATGCTCATGCATGTCTATTTGTGGGTTGTGTGTGTGCCTACTGTGTGCTGGGAGGATGATTGCTGGTTTGGATACATAGGAGTGGGGGTCTCTGGGCCAATGGGCTGGGCTTTATCAGAGTGTGGATAAGGTGTGTATGCACACAGCCCTGGGTGTGAGGGCCTGCTGGCTACAGGTGGGTCGGGCTGCCTGGTGAAATGCATGCATTGGAGTTCTGGGTGGGAGGGTTTCTGCCCTTGGGTCTTTTCTTAGACCTCTCCCCACCCATCCCAGTCCCTTCCCATGAATTCTTCCCACTGGGGTTCTGCATAGGCCCATCATCTCTCAGTCCAGAACTGGGCGGAGGGATTAAAACGAGTTGCCATCCGTTAAAACTCCCCTCTCCCGAGAAATGCCCTAGTGTCAGAGACTCAAATCCTGGGTTGGTGTGGCCTTTGGCAAGGTTCCCTGCCTCGGTTTCCCCATCTATAAAATAGGGATGATGGTAATGTGGAAGATTTGTAAAGTTCCTGTGGAAACGCCCCAGCCCCGCACGCATCTGAAGGCTCTCACTCTGTTTCCGCTGCCCCTTGGCTCCCTGTGTGACCTGAGGTGCACCCCCTTTCCCCAAGCCCCACGTGGGACCAGATAAGCCCTTAGGCTACCTCCCACCACCACAGGCCCAGGGCCCCACCCAGGCTGCCTCACTCAGGGAAGCCCTCCCCCACCCCCTCTTCCACACTCAGCCAGGAAAAGAATGGATGAAGAAATTTAATTTACGTTCTGGTGCTTCTGATAATGGCCACTTAGTGCCGGATGTTGAAGTGCCAGCTCCAGGACCAGGCAGGGAGCTCAGAGCCTGGCTTCTTTCCTCTCTGACCTTGGGCTGCTATCTTACCCTCTCTGGGCCTGTTTTCCTGTCGGTTGGAGGAAACAGTGATACTTAGAGGGTTATGATGGAAATTATGCATGTTAGTATATAAGTTGCCTAGAACACTGCCCGCCCCGAGAAAGCTCTGAGTGCAGCTCTTGTTCCTGTCTGCCAAGAACCTACTATGTGGTACAACTGCCCTGCTTCCTCATGTCCTGCTCAGCGCATGGTGGGTCAAGAGGTTCCCATTTTCCACATGAGACACAGAGGGTGGTGACCATGTATGTGGCTTTGGGTTCTCACTTAGAGCTCATCTCTGCTCTGTAATGAGGGGGCTCATGAACCCTCCTGGAGTCACCCCGGTCAGGCACATTGCTGTTCTACGTACAGAGCCAAGGCTGAACCCCAGGCGTGGGGGAGGTGGGGTCAAGCAAGGAAGAAAGCTGGCCCTTGCGCTCAGGCAGCCGACCGTCTACTGGAGCAGAGAGGAGCCGTGAACTTGACATTATCTGAGAGAATAGCCCTACATTGTCTCTCCTTCCCTCCTTTGAATCTGCTCCTTCCAGCAGTTCCCCCCTCAGTAACTGGCACCATCCATCCCATGGTCCATCCTCAACCCCCAGAGGTCATCCCTGATCCGTGCCTTTCTCTCACCTGCCAGCTGACCTCCAGGTCTGCCCACTTCTCTGCACCTCCAGCATCACACCCTGTGAGATGCTCCCATCATCTCCCCAGGAAGACCCCCAGCTTCCTACCTGCTCTCTGCTTATTACCTTTGCCCACCCACATGCCATTCCCGGGGCCAGCTAGCATCGTCTCTAAGAAAGTATTCCCAGCAAGGGCATTCCATCCTATTTTAAATGAACTCCACGTCTGGTCTACAGAGCAAGAAAGCCTGGGCTTTCTACTCCTGTAAAGCATTACAGTGTCAAAAACTCACAGGGACAGTTCTACCGGGTCCTGTAGGGTCACTATGAGTTGGCATCGACTCCAGGCAGTGAGTCTGCGGTTTTTCTGGTCTACAGAACCCTGTGTGAAATGGGCCCTTCCTTGTCGTCCAACAAAGACCAGGATGGAAGGATCCTCTGACCTGGGCTCATTCTCCTCTTTGCTCAATCTCCTCTCCCATCCACCCCCACCCCCAGCATTACCACACCGGTCACCTTTTGTTCCTTAAACAGATGCAGCTCAGGCCCAACACACACCCTTTGGACATATTGTTCCCTTTGCCTGGAATTGTTTTCCTTCGTCTTACACATGACTGGCTTCATCTAAAGATATCTTGCTTTCTCAGAGAAACCTCCCTGACCCTCTACTATGTAGCAGCCTCGTCAAGTTACCCTGCTCCTTCCTTCCATCCTATGTGTGTTCTTGTTGCTTATCTGTGTCTCCCATCACTGTGATGCTGGATCCTTGAGACCAAGGACCTGGCTGCATGGTTTGCACCCATAGGACACCCACTCATACTTCTGAACAGGTGGATGGATGGATGAGTGGGTGGATGGATGGATGGATACCTTTCAAAGCTCGTGTGCAGGCTAGGAAAGGGAGATCGCTGCTGACTCAAAGCAGGAGGCAGGACCTGGAAGGAAGTCTTTCTGGCCCTGAGGAGCAGAACTGGGCGGGGCTACTTTGTTGACCTGGTGTTCTAACTTAACCTTGGTGACCACTAACCATATACCAGGCCCTGGTACGGTAGTGGGGTTACTAGGCTGTGTCTCTGTGTCCTCAAGGAGTTTGCTATGGGGAGTAAAGGGATGAAGAGTAGCATAGGGGTGGGGACAGAGAAGGGCACTTAACCCAGGGCCCAAGTCTAAGGGGACTCCAGACTGACATGGACCAAAAAAGCTTCTGAGGAGCCACAAATATAAATGACACCTGGCAAGGGGCGGCCAGGCAGGAGAGCACAGGGTGGTCTTGGGTCCCTGCTTCGCACCATGGATGTCAAAGTCTGTTCATCTTGAAACGGTGGTGGGAGGAGGGCAGTTTTAACCATTGTTCTCCC